TTTCCTAAATAAGACCTTTGCAGAAATATTCAGCGTACTGACGAGACAAAAGTGTTAGTAACAGGATGCATATGTTTCAAAAACTAACAGAGTTCCAGATAAAAAACATTATGGGTATTACGCTGGTCAACTGATTCTGGTCTAGTTAACCACAACCTGGACAACTTGCAGTAATTGATGAAACCATAAATTTATTTCTTATCAAAAAATCCTGTAGTTGAACTTCTGGATGTCATTTTTTTAAGCTCAAACCTTCTTAGGTAATGCAGCAGGATGAAGATCAGAAGCATATTAAATGGGAAAAAAAACTGTCTAGAGGGGCCTAGTCAAAGTACACTCTAAGATTTTATGATAAAGGCTGAGGCATGACTTTGAACAGTCGTCTGTATGGCTGATTCTACCTAACTCCTCCATAGATATGTACAAAACTCATTGCCAATTATCACAAATGGTTGATGTCACCATTTGCCACCAAGGGTGACACACTAGTTGTCATATTTAGGCGTGATTACTTTTTGTATACGGCCAGGTTGTTTAGGTCACTTCATTTGAAAAAATGCTCTATTTACACTGATCATCATGAAATAATTAATGACAATACAAATAATTTCCGAGGCTCTGTGCTCCAGCATGTAAGGTTTAACTTTCCTATGAGACTTGAAACCAAATGCAGTTGGTTTCCTACTTTTCAGAAATCAGGAGAGTAAAAAAGGAATATAGGTGGGGAAAAAAAGCTGTAAATTGTTGGTATCATCAAAATTATGTTTTGTGACTTCGCCATATGATGCATAAAAATAAAATCCATGCAGCCATCTAGCATGCTAGCTGGTTTTATGGTTTGAATGAGCCACAAGCAAAAAAAAAAAAAAACCCTCCAATCAAATCTGTTTTGTTCCTTATAAATACAGTGAGAGCATATTGCATTCTGAATGTCACTCTTTGGCTGCATAGACATTATAAAAAATGTCATTTCCCTTCAAATACCAGAAGAACACAAAAGTTGAGAGAGAAAAGACAGAAAAATGTCACTCTTGCAGATTGGCTTTGTAAGAAACAAACACAAAACACAAACCATCACTAGCTCTTTACTTTCCCAAAGATTAACAGTGAAGCAGAGATTATTTTAGCAAAGGATGAAGCATGTTGTCCTTTTCTTGTTGGTATTTATTTTAATTTGAAAACCATAAAAAGTGCTGGAATATTGATGCTAATGTTTCTGAATGAAAGCAACATCCACACAGTCCATACAGTGTATGCATTCATGTAATGTCATGAATTATGCATTCATTTCTTTGTGTTATGACATAACTAATGGGCATCAATTATTAAAATGCTTTAGGAGCTGGGATGAGACTGACGGTTTTTAATTTTTTAGTTTGTTTACTGGAGATTCTTAATGTCTGAGTCGGAGTAAAAGTGACTGATATAATGTGGCTTAATCCATAAAACATGCAGGGCATTTTGAATCTTATTGGAAACAACGCCGCGGCCAGACTCATAAAACTTTGTTGAAAACAAATGGTAAAACATATAAAGAATCTGTGTAATTTCACTCTTATCTATTATTACTTAGATATTTGTCCTCCTACCGCGGAGTGCATTAATCAACATGGTAGATAAAAGGCTTATGTTTAGAGTATGGAGCTTTTTTTGAACTTATCGTCCTGCGTTCAACAATCCCTGAATCAATTATTCATTGTAGCGGGATTAGAAATTCAATTTATTAGTGTTTCCAATTTCTTTTTTTTTTGTTTTTTTTGTGAAGTTCAGGGATGAAACGTTCATGCAGCAAATGCAAGAAAACATTAGAGTGTTCTAGCTTTGTCTGTGTATTTTTTTTTCCCAGACAGGCATTATAGTTGGCCGCAGCAGGAGCCCTCAGCCAGGCATAACAAAGTTCATTTTAATAACACCACAGGTGGCAGGGAAGGCTTTAATCTTGGTCTCTGCTTCTTGTGTTTGAACCCTCATAATATTCTGCATGTGCTCCCCTCCTGATATGCCACTCAGTTATATGCTGCTACAAGTAAAATCACAGCAATCAGTTACAGTTTTTTTTTTTTTTTCGTTTTTTCTTTCCAGAGTCGGTCGAACATCTTACACCGACATAAACTTTGCTGAGCTTGTGTCTGAAATCTTATTTCTTTCTTCAGTCCCGTTTCTTCTGTTGTCATTTTATATGAAATAAAATATTATTTTATCAAATCTGTCAAATAAAAAAGAATCCAATTTCTTTTTCGCAGACAATCCCGTCTTTTATGCACTATTTGAACAGACTTTTCTGTGAAAGTATTAAGTCACAACGTTATTTGTGAAGGTGTTCATACCCACTAAACATTTCACTTTACAGCTAAAAACATTTAGTCTAATTTTATATGTTATGCTCACTTAATGCCCTTTCTCTGAAATGATATTTTCTTCCACAGAATCTCATTTACACTCTCAACACTTTGACATGATTCTGCCACCATAGAAGATCACAGGTTAGATGCTGCAACAGCATCTCTTAAGCTAATTGCCTTAACTTGTGCAAGTTAAGACTTGTGGTATTCATGGGAGTTAAGGACCACAGTCGTCTGTGATGAGCTAAAGACTGTAAATACTTGAGACTCTCTCTAAAAATGGTTTTGGGGATGCAGCCGATCAACGCCGATCAACTCTTGGACTGACTGCTTTGCCAATGCTCGCCAGTAGCTTTGTCAAGTAGCATTGCGCCTCCCACGTTGCATTTTTTCCACTGAAAATTTGATGTGCTCTATCAGAAACATCTGTGACTAGACGAAACGTCCAAGAAAGTTTGGAGCTACGTTCTACCGGTCCATTGTACGATTCATTGACCATCCATGTGTATCACTTATGGTTTTATTGTCACTGATGAAAGCATTTAAACAGCTCTCTGTGATGGTCACAGGGTTTCTCTGCCGCTGTGCCAGAGTTCCTCTGTTTGGAAATTATGAATCCCGCTGAACAACAGACATTTCAAATATAAATGCCCTCCTCATCTTTTATTTGAAGCGGATATAAAGACAACATGCACTTCCCTTTCATTTCACAATCATGTGTTTCCTTGTGTTGTTGATATTGGCTGGAGGAAGTCGGTGCATCTTTCAGTGGAGGTGTCCTCTCCTTTATGCCCTGACATTATTACCATTTAAATGCAAAGATATAAGTTTTTGTAGCTGTTTTGAAAGTTGATTATCAGATAACACCGCCTACTGCTCGTGTTTGTCGTTGCTAAGCAGGACATTATTTCTGTAAATGCATGACATTCTTGGTTCCAGAGTGAAGAAATGATGGTCATTTCCACACAATGAGAAAAAGAAACATTTTATTGATATGCACTCTGGTTATATAAGTTGGTAATAACAACCCTCTTGTCTAAAGAGTCAATGTGTTGAAATGTCTTTAAAAGAAATCTAGCTGCTGTCCATAATTCACTCTTTCTTTGTGTGTGTTTCAGCAAACCCCCTGCTCATGAACTCATCCATGCAGCCGGATCTCACAGTGTCCCGTACATATACCAGCCCCATATGTTTCCAGGACTCCATTGACAAGGAGTTAATGGCCGAGCACTCACTCCTCGACCCGCTGCCCGATCTGAAGGCGAAAGGTTAGAAAACTCGACCACTAGTAGGAGATTTATTCTCCTTTCTTTGAATACATTTTATTTTGTCTCTAAAGAAACTTTTCATCCAAAACAACCTGATTCTCCAGTCCGTGTTCTCCGATGTGTTAGTGCTAACATCAGTCTCTCCAGGAAGTTGCGACGTTGCAATCACCACTATTAATGCAAATTCAGTCATCATTCAGACTTGCAATCATTGCACCTTTTCCTTAATTCTGACCAGTCCCCTTAACGTTTTCTGTATTTCGCTCTTTTCTGATCAGTCACTGCAACTTGAGTGAATTTTAACCAATCCCATTAGCCCTCTTCTCAACTCAACTTCCTGTTTCACGATGTGTCTTGAAAGCCAAACAGATGCTAAACAGTAACATTTGCCTTTTTAATTTTTAATTTTTTTTTTTTTTTGCAGTAACCATTTTGAATCTTTCCGTCTTGTCAACTTGATCAATATGTATTTTTTCTTTTTGCACTTTGACAACTCTTTGTGACATCATTTTATTTGTATTAAGAGCTATTTCAAGAACGTACATGGAAATGTTATTTTCACTTTAAATATCAACTATGTTGAAATTGTCAAAGGTCTTTCTTGCAGAGGTTATGTGCAGCAATGTAAACTTTTTTGTCAACTACCAGGTTATGGCAAAAATAAAGTTTAAAAAACTTGCTACTTTTTGAAAAAGTAAGTAATTTTAGGCCGCAACAATCGCAAAAAAAAAAAAAAAAGTCGCATCATCCTAGAAACACTTTAATATGCTTTTAATGTATTTTACACTTGCATATAAAAAAAGCTTTATTTGACGACACGTGTTCAACAAAAAATGAGAAATTACATGTTTTTGTTTGTTTTTAATGACTCGTTTAGACGAGGCGTACTACGAGATTCATGGTCATACTTTATATTCTCCCTGCAGGGGATCTTCTGACGTTACTAAATTTCCCTTTTTTGCAAAATTCTGAAAAGAAACATTAAGATGAGTTGAGATTGAATAGGGAAATTATTGAAATCTTTGAAAGATGACGGCGTGCTCCTCTCAGGTAATCCCCGACTCTAAACACGAAGCAGTCTGAGCACAGACTGTTCTCATTTGCGGTTCCCTGTTGGTGGAACGAGCTGCCAAATTCTGTCAGTCTCTCTCTCTCCACCTTCAAGAAACATTTGCAGACGGATTCTTAATAAAACACTCACGCCTCCTTTTCTTACACCTTTAACAGTAACACTTCTACCTCACAGTCTTTTTTTTTTCTTCCATCTTTTAAATAGTTGAGCTTAACTGAACATAAAGGAGGTATGTTGCACCCTTTTTAACAAGTTCAAGCTAATTTCTTGAAGTTCTAAATATCTAAGAAAAGGAAGCACACTCTGTTTCAGCACCACAGCTTCTGTTCTTTACAAGGTTTTAAAATTGCTTAGATGTAACCTTGAGCATACCAAATCACACAGCCAATTCCACTCAATATCTTTGAAACAAAACAGTAAAAAAAAAACACTATGCTACGTGTGAAAAACTAACAACTTGTAGAAACTCCTTTAGCAGCAGTAAATTGGTGTGGCCATTTTCTGTAGGCTTTTATGTGGAATCTTTTGCAACATTGCTTCAGTTCTTTAGGTACTGCATGCAATTCTTTCTGCAAGGCTCTTAAGTTCAGATCAAGTTGAGATCTAGTACTTTGACTGGGCCGTTGGGTCACACTGATTCCACTTTTTTCGGTCGTGTTGTGGCAGAATTGCTTCTGTGTAGGAGATTGTGTCCCTAATGATGAACCAGCTGCGTACTTTTAGAATAACTTGGTGTACAGAGGAGTTTATGAGAGACTGAAGGTGCCCATGTTCAATAGTTAGTTTGTGTTGAAAAATGTGATTTGCTCTCCAGCAGTACAGTGCATTACAGGTTAGATTGACATCAATTATTTGTTTGCCTACCACAGATATGAACCGCAATATTACAGATGAGCCATATTTTGTAAAGCTGTTTTGATCCATAAGCAATAAGATTTTAAAAGCCAAGTCTGTGGAGTCTGATATGAACCTGGTTGGTTTTCTAAACATTTTACAGTCTGACCTTAGGAATCTATTTTATTGATGCTTCTGTAACTGTTCCTAATGTTCCTCGCTGCAGAATGACGGGCTTTTAATTGTTTGAAAACAGCCATGTGGCACTTTATATAGGGAGATACAATTGCTTTCATTAGTCTCTGAGCTGCTTCTGTTACCAGCTAAGCTCTCTACTCTGTTTTTCATCCTACAGGCTCATAACTTGTCTGTTTAGCCGTGTTTCTCTCCTGGATGAAACCAGTAAAAGAGAAGCTGCTGCTGTTAAGACGCTTTCAGAGTCACAGTCCGTTGTGACATTTCGCTCAGTAAAGCGTCCTGAAATGATATGTGTGGTGTAAACAAAATTGAATTCATCTGAATCACTTATGCCTTTGGTAAAACATATTGGCATTCTTCAGACCAAGATGCAGCCAACAGGTCTGGTTTTCCAGGGTAGACCTGACTGCTGATGTGTTAATCATGTGCTTTCAGCAGCAGCATGTTCCTGCTACTCTGCCTCTTACCTCCTATGAAAGCAGCAAAGCTGGACTTAAATTCTGACAGTTTCTTTCTTCTGGCCTAATATTATTTTCTGCAGACCTGAGGTCAGTTTAAATAATGTTAGGACCTAATAATAACCAGACCGCTTTTATGACGCCCTGAGATTTAAAAGCGCATAATTCTTCAATGACTGGCTTGCTATTTCCCGTGGCTGTTCCTTTGTCAGAAAACAGCATAACACAGAGCCACTTTACTGCTCTCTTTCTACCTGATCTCTTCTATTGAGACAATTTTTGAGGGCAGATTGAGCAGCGTGACTCCACTCTGTCTTTGTCTTATGTGGGATGTTACCCTTTTGACGTCGGTGTAAACAAGTAGACATAAATTGCACTCCGCAACAGCCGAGGCACATAATGACCGAACAAGAAAACATGCGGTACCTGGCCCGGGAGCTCACACATCAAAACCGCTGCCCAGAAAACTGGTATTAAAATACGTGACCTCCAATTTATTTCTCAAATACTTGCAATTTCATGACCCGCAGCAGCTCAGCCACAAGCATTTGGAAGTATCGGCTGGGCCAGGTTGAGAAACCTCGACTCTGCAGATAGAAATGCTTGACTGGTCACAAGTTGTGTACCACAAAAAAATAAAATAAAAATAACCCCAGTCACATATCAGTTTCATAAACCTTGGGTTTCACTGTCAGGCAATTTCTCTGTCTATAAAGACTTCTGACACAAGGGCTGACATTAGGGTCTTTTGTTTATATGGATCATTTATCTGCTCTCAGTCGAAGGTAGTAACTAGTTACTTTTACATGAGTAACCATTTCGGGGGAAAAAGTACATCTAGGAGTGATTTTATTACACCTTTTACTTAAGCAGCATTATTATGGAGGAATGCTGCTCCTACTTAAGTAATTAAAAACAAGTTTTAACTTTAGTCCTAAAAAATACCAGTTTGAGCATTATGCTGGATTTTTGTACAATGGCTCCCAGGTGCAAACAGCAGAATGTACTGCAAACAAGAAATTTTGCAATTAGAAAAAAATAGAAGCGAAAACCTAAAATCTACAAGACAAATGCAAACCAAATGCTGCAATCACAGATAAATACCCACACATAGCAAAAACAGAAAGTAAGAAAAGCTGCAAATAAAGCTTCACAAAAACAGAAGTTCTCCATGCCACTAGGGGGAGTCTGGAGTAGATACTATTATTTATGTATTTATTTTGTTGCTCTATAGTATTATAAAAGACTATGTCATTAAAAACACAAGTATAACACCTTTTCATCCTTTCTCCAACTTTCTCCTGGACATTGAGGAAATCAATCCTGAGGGCATAGTGATCGACTCCCCCTGCTGGTCTGGAGCTCTTCCGTTCAGTGGACCGAGTTTTAAATATATTTAAGTATATTTGGATTAGATGCTTAAAAAAATAATTTGAGCTTCCAAATAAAGATTCATTGACATTATTAAATAAACAGAATTGATATTGACCTCGTCGGTAACTTCAACGATGTCAAAAGGAAAGTACAAAACAAGACTAAGAACAAAACAGATGTGGATGTTTGATGAGTTGACAAAGTTTTTCCGTCTTGCAAAGTTCCTCGGAGCAACATCCTTTATCAGAAAACCACAACATGGCCGATCTTGAAAATCTGCCCTGTTTTTCTATGGATTTGTGCCACCAGCAACAACAGCGGCTGAGAAACCGAAGCAGCTGTCACACTCTTTTAAATCTCCAACCTTATGTTGACACACATAACATAGATGTGTTGCGTGTCTGTGAATGTTAAGAAATGAATTTTACTTTGCGAAACATCAAGGCCTGTCACATCCGTGGAGTGTGTGTGTGACATGCTTTTTACTTAGAGTCTGGTTAGTTTGGAAAGCTTTTCTTACCCAACAAATGCAAATTTAAAAAGCCCATTTGTTTGACGATCTGAAACGTATTAGTGTGACACAAGAGAGAAAAACAGCCACTGCTAAATGCTGAAACTTAGACGTGAAGGATGTAAAAATCACCTTTTACATAGAATCTGCAGTGTAAAGACTCTACTTTGCTGGTTCTCTGGATGCAAAGTGTTGCTCTTCCCTCAGGCTCGTTGTTTCAGCTGGAGGCAAAATCCTTGGCAGAGGCAGGCTGGCTGCTCTTTCAGGATTAGCTTTAGTGAGCAGTCAGAGGGCGAATCACTTTACTACGAGCGTGTCATAAATGTAAACAAAGCTGCTTACTGAGCGCCGCTCGCCTTTTGTTCGGGTTGAACAGCTGTACTGACGAGACGTCAGAGGTCATAAGTTTACAGAAAGCAAAATTTCAAAGCGTTCATTGTTTCCACAGGGGCGACAGAAAGGGCAGAGTACCACGTCATGTCCCACCCTCAGACATTTCCACGGGGTTTGGCTCCAGACTACAGAGGGGTTGCAGTAGGGACAACGCTGGGCAGGAGAGGCAAAAACCTTTTCACTCCGCGGGTCTTTCAGACGCTCAGCAGGCCTCTGCACAAAGCAACGGCGGTGTTTGGCCATGCTGGAGGCAGGCTGGTGGTGCCCAACACAGGTGAGCCAACTGTGAGGCAATTTGATCTGATGCGACCCTCCTGGGAGCGTGAACTCGGGTTTCTGTAGGTGAAGGTGAATGTGGCAGAAGATTAAAGTTTTGGTTTTGGTCATCTACAAAACCACCATCATTTTTCAATTTGCAAATTGAGGTTGGTTTTTATGTTGTAATCTAACACAAAACAGTGGATGACAGTAAAATGGAAGGAAAAGTATGTGTGGTTTTGTTTTTTGTTTTTCATGCATTAATTATGATCCTTTGTCAGGATTTTTTTCCAATTTTTTTTTTATTTTCTTAAGGCATAAAAAGAAGGAAGGAAAAAAAATGTAATTTTTTATTTATTTTATTTTTTGTTTTTAATTTTTTTAGGTGATCAATTGTAATTTTCTCCAAATACAAAGTTATTTGAAAAATACATCAGTAGTATTGTTCTTTAGGGGTTTTGTGATCAATATATATATATATATATATATATATATATTTTTTTTTTTTTTTACCTGTCAGGGTCGTCTGCAGTAGAAGGAGGGACCGGGTCGGTCGGCATGCTTTTGTGTCTGTCGGCCATATTGGATGTAACAAAAATAATTTCTTGCATTTGCAGCTGACGGCCAGTAATTGATGGTGTATTTTATGATGCATTAGTGTCCACTTCAGTGGTCTGTGTGCATTTATAACATAAAAATCCACAAGAAGCACAAGAAAATGACCACTATGCATGAAAGGGTTAATGTGAAAATGTTAAGTGGACCAATTTGCTGTCTAAAAACACAAGATGTGGAATTTTGATTGGAAAGCTGGAATAACATTCTGATGCATCAATATGCTACGGCTGAATGTATAGCATTCGTTTCCTGTTTAAAAACGACCATCCAACCCATTCTCAAGTCTTTCGTAGCTTCTAAAAGGGTTTCCTCCAGTACTTACTCTGTATTTAGCTCTATCCATATGAACGCTGACCAGCTTACATGTCCCAGCTGATAAAAAGCATCAGCTCAACAGGTATGGCGTATACTGGCCCATTCAATAAATTAGAATATAATTTAAAAGTCCTTTTATCACAAGAAACATGCCATTTAAAATTAGGACATTATACCAAATCAATAAAATAAACTATCTTTAAAAAACAAAAAAATGTGGGTCTAACAAAAAAGCATGTTTACTTCCTACTTAAAGGTTTTTACTTTTAAAATGTACTTTTAATCTGACAAATGAGACTTATTGGGACAAATACTCTAATTTATTGAATATGACCACTTTTCCTTCCACTCTTTTGTTTTCTTCCATAAAATCAAATAAAATACATTAAGGTACTTTTTTCTAACTGCAGCAGCCTTGTGCTGTATATAGAACATCTTTAGCTAAATATATATGAATTACTGCCCCTAATTCAGTACTTGAAAGCATATAATTAACACTATGAAGAAATGTGTGAACTTCTACTTAGTCGTGGCAAACATTCATCATTCTGTTCCTCCAGGAGCTTCATCCGCTCCCCAGACTGGTAGCAATTGGTTTACGATACCAAACAACGCTGCCGACGCTTTTGCGAGGACGCGTTTAAGAAAGATGCGGCGTGTAAGTGTGTCTGCTTGCGACAGAGGCAGTCTTGGCAGCGCTGGGTTTCACAAGGCCTCTGAGACTCTCTCCTGTCACCTCGTTCTGGGGCCGTCACCCCGCTGGCTGTCACCCTCGGTAAAGAGGCCTGACAGCTGAGCAGGTGTGTGCCACGTGTGTGCGCGGCCGGCTGCCTGCTGATCAGCTCTCGCGTGCCTTTTTTCTCTGCAGGTATCAGTCTGCTGGTGCCTCACGGGGGGATCGCGGAAGACACTACCTGGGAAATGTACATGAGCATCAACCAGGAGGACAGCAGGTGAGGGACTCTCACAGAGGCGGCGCCGTCTGCCTCTCAGGCTGCTTCCTTTTAATCTCTCAGCCCTTCCCCGTGCATATCTCATCCATCTTGCCGTGACACCGTCTCCTTGTCTCGTTGCCAAACAAGAGCCTGGAACATACAAAGGCGACGACACACTCGCTCTCTTAAGAAGCACACAAAGTGACACGCAATGTACATATTCTGGCTTACAGATGCACATGTCCCCTCTCAGCTTGCCGTCTTTTGTCATCTTGCCGACTCCACAGGGGGAGGATGTGATGTGTCATAAATACATTGGAAGCCGTAGACGTATTGCATTACTGCCCTAAGCAACTCTCTCAGCGGAGGAAAACACACTTCATGACTACGGTAGTCTGTTTTCTATTTGCAGACATAGCTGTGACAGTATCTCTTTCCATCTCGACTGGTAAGAGATGCGTGTGCTGCGAACTCTGCAGTGTGAAGGCGATAACTGGTGTTTGGTCAGATGGATGGAGATTGGGTATGATGCGCTGCAGAATGCAGATGCAGCAGGAGAATGTAAGATTTTCACCAAGTTGCGAGACAGGGAGAAAAGGCCACGATAAGTAAGACCTGGTGGAGAAAGATCACAAACACAGACGTCCACCATGTTAGGTACACCTGTTTAATTACCTGTTAACACAGATAAAAGATCAAGGAGGGAGTAGCTACCCAATATGTTAATGTATCGAGGTGTGGTGAAGACAACTTGCTAGAGTTTAAACAACGCATGTTATTTACAGTGGACCCCCTGATATTAGCTAACAGGTAAAAGCTAAGATCTACAAATACTTGATACCCCCTTTAATAGACCTAAAACTGCTTTTAGTAACAGCTTACACACCAAATATACCTTATATGTATTAATATTTACAGTACATTAATACTGTCTCTATTTATAGAGACGGTATTAATAAGCTAAAATCCACTATCTTCCTTATTTCTGCTTTTGGGGGGTACAGTCTATCAGTGCCTATAACTAAATAAATGCAGCTCCTGGATTGGCTGCCAGCCAGTAGCATCTCCAGTAGCATTGTGGTTAGGTGTTTCAGCGTCCCAAATTTCATTTTCTTTCAAAACTTTTAAGAGAAATCCAGAAATACTGAACCCCAAATAGGCGTGGATCAACTGTAAGAGATTACAAATGTGGTATGGCCGTGTCCTAAGATGTGCAGAGTACGGTCTTAAAATATTCAGTGAGTGTCAGTTGTGTGGTCAGAGAGAAGTAGGAAACTAGATTTCAGCTGATAGAAAGTCAACAGTAGTTCAAGTAACCACTTGTCACGCAGAATACCGTCTCTGAACGCACAACTTCTCAAACATTCAAGGACTCTGACTGAAGAAGAGGAAGAGCTACAATCTACACCTATTCGACAAATTTGGACAATGTCAGATTGGATTAACATCTTAAGAGTCTTGATTTCAGCTGAGATATTTAGACGGTACAATCAGAATTTGGTGTAAACGACATGAGGCACCACTTGGTGTTTATTAGTCCCCAAAAACATCCATAGAAGCACAGCCAAGTTTGCTCAAAAAGCTCTACGGATATGAACATTTTTGCAAGGCGCTGCGTCTGACACGTCTGATTGCTTGGCAACAGACCCTCAGAAGACATCTTACAAGCAGAAGTCAGCCTTATGACATGTTTCTGATTTAAAGCAGCCACTATCAAGATGTCAGCATGTCTGTGCGAACCGTTTCTCACAAGATGTTATCACACGGACATGAGTAGCTGCTTGTGCTTCTGAATGTGATTTGATTTCCAAAGCGAACCCAAATAGCAGTGGGCAGAGAAGTGACATTTGGCTCCATCTGAAATTCAGCCGTCATCTCGCTGCATTTCCACACACCCATTAGATGCCTGGGGTCACAGGGGAAAGGAAACGCATCCAAGGTCGAATAGATGCCGTGGCTCGGAGCACAGTTAGCAGGCTCGTTGCACACTTCTGTGCCTTAAGTCGCTCCCGTTCAGCCAAACTGTTGCCCTCCAAGCTGCTGCTTTGCTCTGATAAGCCTGATGCTGTTTACTTCTCTGGCTGTCATTTAAGTAGCTGCAGGATCCGTGCACCGCTGAGCTGTCAGTCACAGCCTATCTTCTGACAGCCGCACAGTCCAGGGGAGAAATTGGATCCTTTCTTCCCATTCAAACCTCGGTCATCTACATAAGACGTTGTTTTTCTTCTCAAAGAATAGGAATCGATCAGCTCCGGCTCAGTTTCAGGTGCTCAAAGGATCTTCCCCATGTCCTCCAGGCATCAAGAAGCTTTTTTTTTTTTTTTTTCCTTCTGCGTGTGAACTTTCTGAGCTCAGCAGGGGACACAAGGTTGCTGAAGGACGAAATCATGGCGTGTGGCAAAACGCGCCTAATATGATACGGCTCACAAAAGTGGATAAGTCGAGGGGGGCCTTTCTTGGTTGTGCACATAGAGAAAGTCTGTAGTGTCGAAACTTGGAATAAACCTGTCTCCGATTGGTTCCATTGGCTGAAGGTTGTTTTTAGCGAGTTTTACAAAGTTTCATTGCTAAAACTTTCCTTTTACAACCGAACCCTAAAGTATACCTTCAGATTTTCTCTTTGGCTTCCCAGTGCAACATAATGGCCACCTCCAACACACATAAAGAGAAGAACTAAAGAGAGTTGTATTTTTTTTTTTCGAATCACATGAATGAAAGAGTCGTGAATATTTAATAAGTCCCTAAGCACTGCATTTGTTTCCTCTATACTCACAGAGAAATATCTATCTGATTAGCGTCTCGTGCCTCCCCCTCCCTCCACCCCCCATGTTCTTCAGTTTATCAGCAAATTTGTCTCTTTGGGACTGTGGAGCTTTTGGCTGAAAATCTCCCTTCTGCTAATGAGGGCAGCTCCAATTGGGCAGCGGCAGCGAGTGATCGAAACGCAGCAAAGCTGTAAAAATAATCAATTAAAAGTGATTAAAAAACTTAGCAGAGCTGAGATTAGGCACAGGGGCATGATGGTGATTCTCTCCGGGGTTGTCACTACATCTTTTACTGCGCGCATTATCATAAGAGCCTTTGCTCATTTAAAAATATTGATTTCTCCAGATTGAATTCCCTTTTTTCACCTTGAGATGTTCCCAGACTGAGACCAGGCCACACGTTCTGAAAATGCCGAGTGCTTTACGAAGAGTTTCAAAGTGAGAAGCATTTATCGAAAATCTCCTCATCATGGTATAAAAATAGTTAAAGCAGAAGTTAAATCTTATCCCTGCTGTTAACCAGATTAGATTAAATGATTTATCTTAATCTGGCCACTACAGTACTTTACCTTTAAGTGAAAAGTATCAACTAAATTATGCCTTTCGTCATTACAGCTATAGTTTTTAATGTCATTTTCTGGGATTTTGAGTAAACGACCAGCTAACCAAAAACTAGTACATAATTGTGGGTGAAAGTAAAAGACTTTGACATTCTTACAAAGGAATATTCTTTGAACTAAACTATCCCATTGTAGCTTGGGTAATGGAAATGCAGGAAAGCCACAGTCAACTGTCTCTATTGGTTTTCATGACCAACTCACAAAATAGGAGACTTTTGTTTGAAATAGTTGCATTAAAGAGGGCAGAACAGAATTTGATTGTGCATTTAAAGAAATAGACTTCAGAGATTGGAAACATTAGATTATTAGATTTCTGCAACATTTCCTTATGTTTATGCAAATCTCAGCATAATTACTCAGCATTTTCTATAAGTCACTGTTTACATCATAAGTGTAGCTGGTATGAAAACTTTTTGTGAGACATTGTATTTGTATTTCATATTAAGGCACTATTAAAAGAGAAAATATTGATGTGAAATAATTAGTGTTAATATAAAACGGTCCAAAGCTTTTCATGGTTCGAATGGAAGCTGCACTCAATCTGTACCGTTTTTTTTTTATTAACTTGTTGTTTCCTGCATAAAACACACAGCGGTATCATACAGCAGACTTGTGTTCGGTATTAACATTTGACAAGTTAGTAATAAAATAAAGTGCTGTCAGCAGTTTTCACGGGGACTATTTGTTTGATAGAAAGGGCTGTCACACCACAGCTGTTCACATCCTGTTCTGTGGATTAAATCCAGACTCACAGAGACAGGAGAAGGATTTTTTTTTCTTTCTTTCTTTTTCTTTTTTTTCCCATTTGCCTCCATTGACAACTTGCCTGGTCCAATACAGACTGTGAGAAGTGTTCGCTTTAATTAAGGTCCCAATTCATAAGCCCATAAGCGCTGTAGCTTTATTTCAGAACATGATAGATAGCGTGTAAGGCATTGTCAGCAACACGTCTGACAAACTGCATCCTGCGAGGTTTTGTTTTATGCAGAAACGCAGCATGATGTTCATCTGCACACATGAGACCGTACTTAATCAGCAACTGAAATTGTAACCAACAATGACTGCAGTGATAGCTCTTTGTTCCCATAACCACAATCAGGGATGTTAAAGAATCATCTTTAATCTTTGTTCACAGACAGTCTGGCTAATTACCATAGTCTCAACAGCAGGTAACCTTGGTTTCCTCTGAGCTGGGGGCTGATTAGCACAGAAGTGCAGCTGTACGGACAAGGTGCCGCCTGACTGAAAGTGTGAAATTACATTTGGACTGCAATTCTTTTCATTTTCTACTGTTGATTGGTAACAGCATAATGAAAAACAAAGCTTCTCACAGCGCTCTGAGTCAGAAGAATAACGGTGGTTAAAAAGTCCGAACGCAAACATGTTATCTGGTCTACGGGTGACGTATGCAGGGCTGGAAAACTGCACAGCTGCCAGCAGAACTGAATCATTTTTATTCAGATATTCAGAAATATAATAAATTAGTGTTGAGACTTACTCACAAAAATCCTCCATCTGTTAAAAGTTGAATAGTTTTCATAACTCCTTCAGTTAGCATGTTTTAAAGAAGAGCACCCAGACATGGTGAAAGTTGCTGAAGGTGAATGCAAATGAGAGATTTAGTGTTGTATTAAGGCACTTGAATTTGAAAATGACAACAAGCATTGTCCATACGAGGGAATATGCATTGCTTCTTTTGTAACTTTCATTTGATTTTCAGTCACTGCTGATATACAGCTCTGGAAAAAATGAAGTCACTGACCACTGAACCCCACTGAAAACCTCCTGGTTATTCCTTCAAATATTGATTTCTGAATTCTTCCTGAGTTAAAACATTAGTATTGTTGTTTATAAATGAATATGAACTTGTTTGCTTTGCGTTATTTGAGGTTTGAAAGCACTGCATCTTTTTTGTTATTATTTTTGTTAATTTATTTTTTTTTTACAGAGATGCATATTTCTAAACAACATACTAATTTTTCCATGCATGTTTAAGGTTTTTTTCTTGTTTCCTATGTTTTGTCTTCTTGTGTTGGGTATGTAAACAACCATTTTAAGTGAATGTAAAGATAAAAATATGGAGTTTTTTGTGAAACATCAACTGTTGTCACAATATTGAGGTATGTTGATGCTTTCATGTTTTATAGATTGTGTGTGTTGACATCAGCAGTGTACAGTTTAGTCTGTTACTTATTTCTTTTGTCTCATTTTCTTTTCTTGTTTTTTCAAATTTAATTGTAACGTGGACGTCCAATCAAAGTTAAATGTTTCATACACTTTCTATTAGTGATCGCAGTCATTAATAACTTCTGGTCAAATTAATCTAAAAGGTCAGGCTGTTGTCTGCTGCAGCCACTTAAAGCATTAGGTATTCTATGATGATTTAATCTTAATAGTACAGACAGAGCTTCTGCATAATGTAGTATGAGATTAAGTAATGTTTTAAATAAGATGTCTTGGGCAAAAAAAATAACTTGGGTCACTATTTTAGGAAGGTGACTTTATGTCCAGAAACTCCTTGGCAGGCTGACTGAGCTGTAGATCAGAATTGTGTTTGGTTCAATATCGGTTGTATAAAAGGGCGAGGCAGGAGTGTTGTCGATATTACTTAAGGCTGCACGTCTTCCTACAACTTAAAATGCAAGACAAATGGAGAACGGAGTGGTAGTGGTTTCAGAATAATTACTGAACACCGATATTAGTTTAAATGTGATGGATAAAACACATAAAATCACAACCTATAAGGGTGATACTTTGCGTTCGTCCCCGCTGGTGTATGATTTGACACACAGTCCACATTTGCGATGCATCTCTGCGCTCACGTTAGGGTCCGTTTGTGCCACAGTTATATTAATGATGCCGAGAAACACCCATGCTGCTGCAGCGACAACAGCACCAGCGTTGTGCCCTGCGTACGTGAGGTATCCAGCCAGGCCAGCTGCATGACTGATGGTGGTCCCATCGATTGCTCTCAGTCTTTAGGGCTTCCAGCCAAGTTTGGGCCCCTGGCCAAGAGCAGCTTGGCCCGGCTAATCTGTCACCAGGCTGGCCGGAGCAGCCTTCATAAGCTCCATCGACCCACAAAGCTTACACACTCCGGTCTAAAGCCTGTCCTCCCCACCCTCACTGTCCATTAGTCTTGGTGCTTTAATCTTCCTCTATCTGTGTGTCTGCACGTCAGCTAGTCAGAGATTGATTCATTATGGTTGTCCAGAGATTTGAGTTTACGGTGTTCATGTGTAAGTTTTACACTCCAAGTCCTAATTACACAGAGACCAGTAGGTAAAGATGTACAGTGCCTCATGAAAGCGTTCAGCTACGCTGTTTCACATTTCGTCGTGTTACAACCTTAAACATTTTTATGTATTTTATTGGGACGTTACGTTAGAGGACGTTAGAGGCCAAAGGGAGGAAACTGACACCCAGTTTACAAAACTGCGTACAAAGTCAATAGTCAACACTTTGTTGGTAGAGAAAGCATGTCTCTACTTTCTCTGGACATCTAGAGACTGAAGTTTTTTCTTCACCCACTTGTAGTGAGAGTGGGTGGAGGGCGTCTGTGAACATCAATTTCCAAGTTTTGCCACAGATTCTCCATTGAATTCAGGTTTTGACTCTGACTTGATCACTATTGCCCATCAACATTTCTGTTGAAGCTCCAACTGTATGTTTTATTGTCGCTCTCTTCCTGTTTCAAGTCGTTTGAACCCCAAATAAGTTTGTTCTTGTATTTAACCCCTTCTATCTTCCTATCAACTCTGACCAGCTTAATTGTCCTTGTTGAGTAAAATCACCCTGAATCCCCTAAATATGACAAAAGACAGGAAAAAGGCTACATTTGGCCACCTAAAGTCATCGTTTATGATGCCTTCATTTCGAATAATATCTGAAACTGAATTAAAACCTATTTTAGCTCAAAAGAGGTTTGTAATAATTTACATATCTTTAATAATTAAAGCCGGTAGGATGTACAAAATATTAAGCTGTGGCCTTATTTACTGATACCCAGATTTCCATTTTTGTTAGAAATAGTCCAGTATCGTTTTCTTTTTTAGTTAAAATGTTTCCAGATCTTGTCTTAGGCACTTCTTGTTTAAAATATGTTGTTTATCACACACAGTGACTGAATTAATGCAGCACATTTGTTGAGAAAAGGCATAAAACTGCTGTATTTTACATGTGTGCAGCACTGTGCCGGAGGACGGGGCAGAGATCTTTTTGAGTCCTGCCGTCACATACGGCCCGCCAGGCCTCGACCTGTCCTGTCCAGTAGCCATGACTATAGCACACTGTGCAGAAGTTGCTGCTGACAACTGGACCATCAGGTTAAAGAGACAAATCCAGGACAAGTGGGAGGTGAGTGAACTCGTTTTATCCTCAAGTGAAAGTAAGCAGATTGAGATTTTCCCTCATCACTTCAACACTTAATGCCAAAGTATGTGCACGAAACTTTTAAAAGGGGAATATTATGTATTTTCAAGGCACATGGTGCCATTTTATTACACACTCAAGGAACTGTTGCCTTCAGTTGTTATAAGACGGAGGTAGATATAAAAAATGATGTAAAAGAAATTTGGTGTCGCATTTTGATTCCTTGAAATTAGCCTCTGTCACTTTAAGAAACTTCTGCTCTTTCCCAAACTCCGCCTTCCACCCGTCATCACAACAATGCTCCTCATTATGCCGTTTACAATGGTTCTTAGGAGTGTTGAACCGAAAAATAGTTCACATGCTATCATCTCATAACATCATAGCATGGTGTAAATATAAAAGAATATATTTAATGTATTCAGCTGATACTTATTTTAAGGCTGGTACAATTAAAAATATAGTAATTAAAACTGTATCTCAAACTGTTTAACATCCAAAAGACTTGATAGAGTAAATGGTAGTAGTAACTTTTTACTAAAGATACAAATTCTCTTTTTTTTTACTTGAATAAATATATCTGATTTAGCTTTTATTTACAATTAATTTGTTTTTAATTTCTGAGTAATAAGTGCAAAAGAATGAAGAATTCTGTAAATGATACAGAGTAAAACAGGAGAACTATTTTGATTTAGGTTTTAATGAAAACGTATCTCACCTAGCTGCCAGAATATAAAAAAAAATTGATTAAACAGAATTAAATATTCAAAACACTTAAAAAGCTAAATTGCACACCTCTCTCTCAAAGCTGTCCGTGAGTAGGCAAAAACCGAAAAAAAAAATTGTGAAGTGCACCTTTTAAAAGATGCAGGACCTCCCCTCCCTCGATGCATTAGAGTGTTATTTCCGTGATTGCCGAGCGACTTCCTTCGCACATCTAGCTCTTTTAATAAAATAATAGCTGTAAAAAAGTCCTTCAACTCTGCCCTTTGGAGTAGCAGCCTATCACAAGAGCACTCAGACACCTGCAATCGCTTCCACGCAGTCACCATTCTTCTCCCCGTGTTTTCTCTGCTCTTTTAATGTTTAAGTAACCTCATCGAAAGCCTTTGGAGACCTCATCAGGTCACAGTGACCTCAAAGCCAGACTCTCCCTGAACTGGGAGGGGTGGGGGGGCCGAAGGGGTGGGATGGATCTGTGACTTTGCCTACCTGGTCCTTTCACTCGCCGTGACATTTACACAGATGTAATTTGCCACAAGATGTGTTGCACAAAGAGGAAGCTATCAAAATACCCATTGCTGATGGGAGCTATACGCCGACGTAGAACGGGAGGGAGGGGAGGGAGGTCAGACACGGACAGGAAGACGGAGGTTAAGACAGGGAATATATTTTCCGAATGTAGCACCGTGGCCCATCTCTGTCATGGAGAATTAATGAGGCTTTTATCTCAGGAAGGGTGCTCACTCAAATCCTAATCTCTAAATTAGTGATATAATGAAAGATGAAGGTCTCTTTCCCATTCTGTCCTCTCTTTCCTTTGCCCTCACTTTTCTCTTTCACCCCGTCTGCCTCTAAGCGCCATTCCCATTTAAGCTTCCGCTTTTTTTTTTTTACACTTGTTTGACTCCATCATTTCTCCCCCAGCCGCCGTCGCCTGGTGGGGGGATGAGCTATATCATAGATATCCGTCATGTGTGCCGCTTCTCTAATGGGCCCGGGTTGAAGCAGCTGTATGCCACAAAATCACTCGGCTTTTCTTTACTCGGCCATATGCAGAGGGGGCCGCCAGGTCGCAGGTACGTTAGGAGGTGATTCAGGGAGAACTTAGCACATGATGAGGAGCAATTGGCCACTGGAAACAACTGCCCCCTGCTAATCCGTTTGGTCTGTTACCAGCTCCCCCATCTGTTAAGAGAGATGCATCATTATTCATTTGCAAGTTGTTGTTTTTTTTTCCGTATAGCTTCTTATCCGAGGTTTTCTGGACGGTTTCCTAATGAATGATCTGTAAATGACACTAATGATATCGCTCATATTCCACATTTTAATGGTTTAGAGCAAAAAGAAATAAAAATAAAACTGCACACGTTGAGAAAGCACACTGATGCTCATACAACGCCTTCCAAGAGGATTTGCATAGTACAACAGCAAATTGGAATTTTATGTGACAGACCGGCACAAGTTGTGCCAGACCCGGTCGATTAGAAAAACATTGTGATATGTGGATTTCGAAAGATATTGCAAATAAATAAATGCATCCAGCCCACCTGAGTCAATAATTTATAGAGACAGCGTTCCCTGCAAGTACAGACACAAGTCACTTGGGGTATGTACCCCTATTTAGGACTGAACTTTGACTAGGTCACTGTCCCATATGAGTATACGTTGATCTAAACCTTTCCATTGTAGCTTTGTGGCTGCAAGTTTAGTGTCGTCGTCCTACTTGAGAGTAAATGTTTGATCCAATCTGAAACTTTTAAACTCCATCCATCTTTCTATCACCTCTGACCAGCTAGCTTACATGGCTCTGCTAAAGAGAAGCATCCCCACATCATACTGCTGTCACCACCATGTTTCACTGAAGCTACAATGGGTTCAGAGTATGTAGACCGGAAACTTCAAGTTATGTCTCACTCGACCAAACAATTGTTGAAGAGTTAATAGAGGAGCGGCATTGTGATGACTTCCTGAAGGCAGAGTTTCAGAAAGAGCAAGAGTTTCTTAAAGAGACAGAGGCTCAATTTCAAGGCGATAAATTAGGAAGTTGTTTATTTCAAGTCATCTTTGATATACTCAGCATTTTTATAACAACTGAAGGTAAGATAATTATTTGATTGTGCTGTAAAATGGCACTATGTAGCTGGAAAACACTTAGTAAAGTTACAAAATGTGGATTTAAAAAAAAGTCAAAGGTAAATCATTTGCTTAAGTAATCAAATGACTTGCAAAAAGATTCACTGTCAAATTTAACTCAAATAAAAACCCTGCTTTTGAACAGCATTTCCTTCTGCTGCTATATCTAGCACTTATCTTATTTTCCTCTCCCACCAAAGGAAGTGATGTCAGTGGATGAGGAGAGCACGTCCTGCTACTGTCTGCTGGAGGCCCAGAGGTGCCATGTGCTGTTGGAGCAGCCGGGTCGTTACGCGCTGGTCGGGGAGGCGCTGAACCAGGAGGCTGCCAAGCGACTGCGGCTAGCCGTCTTTGGCAGCCCAGACCTGAGCAACTCGCTGGGCTTCACCCTCAGGGTGTACTGTGTGGACGACACTCCCTACGCTTTCCAGGTATCAGGGAACAAATGTAATATATCAAAGTTGTTGTTTTTTTAAATTTCCATACTGATTTCGTAAAATCTATATGTGAAGAATGGAGAAACTTATTTTTATAGTTTCTCTGTTTTTTTGCAAAGAAATTATTAAGGTTGAATATATGAAAAGCCCATTGATATTAGCTTGGAAGCTATCTTTTGTGAAGATATGCTTTGTGTGTTGTATTATTTTATCTGTTACTTTATATTTAGGGTTTCAGGTTAAAACAGAAGTAATTGGCTTACATGTTTCACCTCCTAAGTATAAATTAATTAAGCTTACACTTCCGTATGAATTTGTTCCACAACAATTATCACCTATCATTCTCATTCTGCAGCTTGTTCACATGCGTCAAAATACTTCTTACTGTCTCTGTTCTCATAAAACTTGATTGAGTTTATCAGAAAGCTGATCTCATTGACATATTTTCCAGCTTTAGCTGTCGGAATGAGAAAAGAGTCAAAAACTTTGACCAAAATGTGCTTCATGAAGGCTGTTTTTTTTAATTGCAGCTACTTTAACAGGGCTACAGGGTTGACATTCCTTATTGGGAATATATTGACTCACCTGACATTATTGTCATTCACCTAAATTAAAGACAATTATGCTGTTAGTTTTTCTGTGCTGTGTGATGTTTGGAGAGAAACTTTAAAAATGTCAGATTACGGCTTTATTTCTCTGCTCCTCATCATTGTACCAGCAAACCAACAGTTTTTGAAATTGGAGGTGTTAGCCTTTTTTGCTGTGATAGCTTACCTTAAAGCAGTGATGGAGGTGTATATTAACACCAGGATCCTGCAAAGATAGATTTATGTAGGCATGACAACCAAACTACACAGTTATTTGTTTTTCCTTTTCGTGAGCATATACCTAAAAATATCTAAAGACATAAAGTGAGTTTTGTGAAAAATTATTTCACCTCTATGGAACATGTACATGTTGATACATCTTTAAATAGTGACTAAGTTGAATCAGTAGGAAAAGGTTGTGTTGTTTTTTTTCACAATGAATCATCAGAGCTTTATGCGCACAGGAGTGCTCCTTATTCGTCAGTGAATAAATCAGAAAGTAGATCGCAATATTGTTCGTTCAAGGTTTAAGCCTTAAGCCTTCCGAAATGAGTAAATTCTTCATCAGAGGAGACTGAGCGCCTGCATAAAGTAATGTGATATAAAACATTGAGTCATTACTGAGACATTTAGATAATACTTGCATAACTTTGCATGAGTTGCATACATATGCAATATATGTAATTATTTATACTCAAAGTAGATTTACATAATTTGAAGTCATTTTTTAATGTATGAGTTAATGATTGGAGGTAATATTAACATTTTGTAGTAACTCAACCACAGTCCAGACTTTTATCTGATAGATCTTTATTAAATGGATAGAATTTGTGGAAGTAGATAAAAATTAGGGTCAAGAGCTTTGACCCTTAAAGCTTGGAGCTCATCGCACAAATTCAACTCAAAATGCCAAAAAGCTGCTCAACAGTTAGGAAACGGCTCAGGTTGCTATAATCCCTTGCCAAAATTTTCCATTAATATGTGTGTAACTTTGTAATTAATATGTGTTCAACTTTCTTTTCACAACTTGTTTATTTCCTGATGAAGCGTCAGAGCCTCATGCACAGATGAGCGCTCCTTATTGGTCAGTGAATAAATCAGAAAGTAGATCGCAATTTCTTTATGCCGAACACATTTTGACCCGACACCTTTTTAATTAAATAAAAAAAGTATTTTTGTCTAAAATGGCTACAACTTTCACATTGTTTTTTTTTTTTGTCAGCTTTTGTCTCTCATTTCCTTCTATGCCCGACATTCTTGATTGAACAAAAGTTATTTAAAATCCAAATCCAACTTGGCAGCAGCCTGGCTTAGCTGGTGATCCGATGGCCTCTGCTGCAGCATTAGACTTGTAGGAAGGTAATGCTGAAGCATTATTTAGCTAAGGCAGCCTATATTGTTACATTACTGGAATGCAAAGGAGATATGCAATAGTGTTTTCCAGGAGGACAAGGAACAGAACTAGACATCATATCTTGCCTTGACAAAAATAGCTTGTTGTTTGTAAATGGGATGGCAGTCTTACAAGAAATAAGGAGAACCGAGACATTTTTCATCCTGAGCAAAGAACTCTCTAAGTGAAAAGCAGATGCCTTTATTGGCAACAAAGTCCAGGTGAGTAGAGAAAAAGAAGACAAAGTGAACGTGTAAAACAGTCACAGTGCCAAATAAAGCCAAGGAAAAGGGCCTCGCACCAAGGATTGTATCATGATGAGCTTGCAGGTCTGTCAAACAAAAAAATTATTAAATTCACTTACCTTGAGATTGTCAAATAAAGTGACAACTCTAGCAATCAAACAAAAGGTGCTAAGATTTAAATCTCCTATATCACCATAAGTTATAAAAAAAATCTTGATACAATGCTATTTCAGTGCTTTATACAAATAATAAAGAATTCCCTATAAGTTACAAAACGTTATCGCTGGGCTAGAGGTAGCTCTAATTTCACCATGAATTTCATATACCTGTGAAAATCCACGCAGTGCTGAATGTTTTCAACAAACTGCTTACTGTGGGTCTTAAAGCGCATTAGTTGTAAGACTAAAAGCAATGGCTCCCTGAAGATTTCTTGTGTAACATACAAGTTTATCAAATGGTATAAGGCTCCAGCAGTGTTGCGTGTGGAAGCAGCCTGTGCAGCGCTCCGTTGAAGATCCACTTGTTAAGTAACATTGCCACTGGGAGACGCTTGATGACGAGGAGACAAAGAAGGACTTTTAATTACAAAGACAACAGATGCTCCAGGGTTGCTTCCCTGCCCTTTATTTGCGCGGTTTAATTTGCTGTCTGTTAATTAAATGTGTTTCTGCAACACATTTCATCTGTAAAGCACTTGAACACGTTAAAATGAGGCACAACTCGACACACGAAGCGGGGGTTCACCGCCTTGTTCTTGAGTTTGGAGCTATGTGGAAACGCGGTTCAGTCCTTTTTTTTTTTTTTGCATTTTTTCTTTTCTTTGAAACCGTTCTTTTCGGTCAGAGAGAAATTCTGCAGCAGCCATTGTACCATCTGAGCCCAACAAACAAAACCAGAGGTTTTTCTGAAATGGTCCCGTTAGTTGCCTCTCACTACCCACTTGTTCTGCATCAGTACTAGCTTCATTTGAGAGACAAAATTGCAAGTACTCAACGAGAAATTGGATGTAGGTGCCAAGAGTCAACTCACTCTACTTCTCCATCAGTGACACATGGTTATTTGGTCTCTTTGTGGGTTTTTTTTTCTGTTTTTCTTCCTTGCTTTTGTTTTCTTTTGTGCTTCATGCAATAATTTCCCCTGTGAGCTTGAAAATCGATAGGCAGCCTGCACACTTGGCATTGTCTTATTTTTTTTTCCCAGAATTATCTGCAAAGTGCACTACACAATTGCACACATCCAGCATCGATAAAAAGTATATCGACAGTCAAAAAAAAAAAGAAAGTGCAGATTTTTTGTTGTTTTTTCCTTTTTGAGGGAGGTTTCTACCTGAGAAGAATTTTCATTGAAACACCTCACAGTCTCGGTTTATAGAAGTAAAGTGAAGTATTACAAATATGTATATTTTTCAGCTCTTAAATATTTTTTCCATTTTCATTCTGCTTGTTTCCAACAACACATAACACCATAGCAAGTCATTTCAGTGTGCTAATTGCATTGTTTTCTTCCGATATAGTGTAAGTGAATGGAAGCAGATGAAAGTCCCACTTTTTCTATTCTTGGTTAGTCCGTGTTATGCTTATGAATTTTAATTACCGTACAGTGAGAATGTTGACATCTTGTGAAAACCATACAGCAGATAACACAGTTTCTCACTCCAATTAAAGTCATTTTACAAAGTTTTCTACAATTTCCTTAAAATGTAATTTAAAGCTGTTACAGAAGCTGCTGCGTGTTAAAATCAACAGCTGTTAAATATTCATATGTAACCATAATGAATCTGCATCTCAGACGTCGTCCGATGGAAACTGCTCAGAAGTAGAGAAAAGAAAACTACGGCTAATAAGTGAAACCATGAATGAAAGAAACGCGAAGAGAGACTCCATCCATTAGTTGTGCTGATGAAAAAAGTATTTCTTATTTTAGCTCATAATAGACACTGTTTGTNTTTTTTTAATTGCAGCTACTTTAACAGGGCTACAGGGTTGACATTCCTTATTGGGAATATATTGACTCACCTGACATTATTGTCATTCACCTAAATTAAAGACAATTATGCTGTTAGTTTTTCTGTGCTGTGTGATGTTTGGAGAGAAACTTTAAAAATGTCAGATTACGGCTTTATTTCTCTGCTCCTCATCATTGTACCAGCAAACCAACAGTTTTTGAAATTGGAGGTGTTAGCCTTTTTTGCTGTGATAGCTTACCTTAAAGCAGTGATGGAGGTGTATATTAACACCAGGATCCTGCAAAGATAGATTTATGTAGGCATGACAACCAAACTACACAGTTATTTGTTTTTCCTTTTCGTGAGCATATACCTAAAAATATCTAAAGACATAAAGTGAGTTTTGTGAAAAATTATTTCACCTCTATGGAACATGTACATGTTGATACATCTTTAAATAGTGACTAAGTTGAATCAGTAGGAAAAGGTTGTGTTGTTTTTTTTCACAATGAATCATCAGAGCTTTATGCGCACAGGAGTGCTCCTTATTCGTCAGTGAATAAATCAGAAAGTAGATCGCAATATTGTTCGTTCAAGGTTTAAGCCTTAAGCCTTCCGAAATGAGTAAATTCTTCATCAGAGGAGACTGAGCGCCTGCATAAAGTAATGTGATATAAAACATTGAGTCATTACTGAGACATTTAGATAATACTTGCATAACTTTGCATGAGTTGCATACATATGCAATATATGTAATTATTTATACTCAAAGTAGATTTACATAATTTGAAGTCATTTTTTAATGTATGAGTTAATGATTGGAG